ATCCCTAAAATCCAACCTTTCATTATCCCTAAAATCCAACCTTTCCCATCCCTAAAATCCAACCTTTCCCATCCCTAAAATCCAACCTTTCCCATCCCTAAAATCCAATTTTTCCCATCCCTAAAATCCAACCTTTTCCCATCCCGGAAGCGGGACATCAGGAGCCCTGAGATTCCCGGATTCGGGGTTTCGGGATCCGAAACCCAGAACCAGGAATTGGGATTTGGGGATTCCCTGGGAGTTGTCCCTGAGCATTCCATGAGGGCCTGGTGGCCATTCCCACCTGGAAAACCAGTCAGGAACTGGGATTTGGGGATTTCCTGGGAGGGGCCGTCCCTGAGCATTCCATGAGGGCCTGGTGGCCATTCCCACCTGGAAAACCAGTCAGGAATTGGGATTTGGGGATTTCCTGGGAGTTGTCCCTGAGCATTCCATGAGGGTCCGGTGGCCATTCCCACCTGGAAAAGTGATGCCAGGAACTGGGATTTGGGGATTCCCTGGGAGTTGTCCCTGAGCATTCCATGAGGGTCCAGTGGCCATTCCCACCTGGAAAACCAGTCAGGAATTGGGATTTGGGGATTTCCTGGGAGGGGCCGTCCCTGAGCATTCCATGAGGGTCCGGTGGCCATTCCCACCTGGAACCAGAGCCAGGAATTGGGATTTGGGGATTTCCCGGGAGGGGGTTGTCCCTGAGCATTCCATGAGGGTCTGGTGGCCATTCCCACCTGGAAAACCGGAGCCAGGAATTGGGATTTGGGGATTCCCCGGGGAGGGGCCGTCCCTGAGCATTCCATGAGGGTCCGGTGGCCATTCCCACCTGGAAAAGTGATGCCAGGAATTGGGATTTGGGGATTTCCNCTGGAAAAGTGATGCCAGGAATTGGGATTTGGGGATTTCCTGGGAGTTGTCCCTGAGCATTCCATGAGGGTCCGGTGGCCATTCCCACCTGGAAACCCGGAGCCAGGAATTGGGATTTGGGGATTTCCCGGGAGTTGTCCCTGAGCTCTCCATGAGGGTCCCACCTGGCCATTCCCACCTGGAAAAGTGATGCCAGAAATTGGGATTTGGGGATTTCCCGGGAGCGCCGCGGCCTGGAGAGGGGCTGTCCCTGAGCTCTCCATGAGGGTCCAGTGGCCATTCCCACCTGGAATTCCCAGCCCCGCCCACGGCCGTGCCCTCCGGGTGCCCATCCGGGCGTTTTGGGATCCCGAACTCCCGTTTTCCCGGCAGGAATCAGGACGACTTCCAGCTGGTGCGGAAGCTGGGCCGGGGCAAGTACAGCGAGGTCTTCGAGGCCATCAACATCACCAGCAACGACAAGGTCGTCGTCAAGATCCTCAAGGTACCAACCGGAAAACCGGGAATGCCGGCCCGGGAAACCGGGAATGGTGGCCTGGGAAACCGGGAATGGTGGCTCGGGAAAACAGGGAATGGTGGCTTGGGGAAACGTGGAATGGTGGCTTGGGAAAACTCAGAATGGTGGCCTGGGAAAAGCTGGAATGGTGGCTTGGGAAAACTCAGAATGGTGGCCTGGGAAAACCGGGAATGGTGGCCTGGGAAAACCTGGAGTGCTGGCCCGGGAAAACCGGGAATGGTGGCTTGGGAAAAGCTGGAATGGTGGCCTGGGAAAACCTGGAATGGTGGTCTGGGAAAACCTGGAATGGTGGCCTGGGAAAACCGGGAATGGTGGCTTGGGAAAACGTGGAATGGTGGCCTGGGAAAACCGGGAATGGTGGCTTGGGAAAACCGGGAATGGTGGCCCGGGAAAACTCAGAATGGTGGCCTGGGAAAACCCGGAATGGTGGCCTGGGAAAGCTCAGAATGGTGGCCTGGGAAAAGCTGGAATGGTGGCCTGGGAAAACCGGGAATGGTGGCCCGGGAAAACCTGGAATGGTGGCCCGGGAAAAGCTGGAATGGTGGCTTGGGAAAAGCTGGAATGGTGGCCTGGGAAAACCGGGAATAGTGGCCTGGGAAAACCGGGAATGGTGGCCTGGGAAAACCTGGAATGGTGGCCTGGGAAAACCGGGAATGGTGGCTTGGGAAAACTCAGAATGGTGGCCTGGGAAAAGCTGGAATGGTGGCCTGGGAAAACTCAGAATGGTGGCCTGGGAAAACCGGGAATGGTGGCTTGGGAAAACTCAGAATGGTGGCCTGGGAAAAGCTGGAATGGTGGCCTGGGAAAACTCAGAATGGTGGCCTGGGAAAACCGGGAATGGTGGCCTGGGAAAACTCAGAATGGTGGCCTGGGAAAACGTGGAATGATGGCCTGGGGA